ACCCGCGTTGAAAACTCGCCTATTCTTTTTTTTTTGAGAATTATTTCTGCCCTAGTAATATATGTAATAAAATTACCCGCGTCGAAAACTCGCCTTTCTTTTTTTGGGGAATTTTTCCTGCTATAGCAATATATGTAATAAAATTACCGAGGTCGAAAGTTTGCCTTCCTTCTTGTGGGTAATTTCCTTTGCTATTGCATTGTATGTAATAAAATTATAGGTGGGCAATATTTCCTCCTGGGCGTCTTGCTTGATTACGCTCATCCAAGATAATGTCCGAAACAATATTGATCCGGTAAAGAATCCTTGCGTTCTTCGGTTGATTAACTTCGGTTTCGGATCATGATTTTTTTAACATTATTAAACAGATAAATCATCTTCTTTTTTTATTTGCCTGAATTATTTTCCGTCTTGTAATTTCTCATAATAAAATTAACATGAGGAATCATTTGTTCTTTAGGTTTGAGTCAATTTATCTCTTACCTATAAACTTTTTGGATATTTTAACTCGGCTGAAAAATCTTCGGTTCTTTTTTCTGCCAAATATTCCTATTCTACAAAAGCTTCTTAGTAAAATTCAAATGTCAATTACTCCTCAATATGTCCTTCTTCATTGCTAAATAATCCGATACTTTTCCACTCCTGGTTTAACGTCAGACCGGGGGAACAGTATTTTTACTCTTACTAGGATAATATGTTCCGATATTACTCATTTGACCTTCGTGGTAGTGTAATGCGTGGGGTTCACTTGATCCTGTCAAAATACTTATACAGCGAGTACGTAATGGTTTATTTATCACTTGGCCCTTTACATACACACTTCTTTATCGACAACACACCACCACGACCATGATAATAATCTGAAGTGACAACATAGAACCCATGTAACAAATGACGAATTGATCGCTTGTGGGTGACCTCTTAGATGGAGGTACTTGTATAATTTACTTATAAGACAAGACTCTAATGTTGGTACTTGTCCCACCTTACTAAGAATGAAGACACGATTTCATAGGGGGGTTGTTTTGTTCTTCGAGGGGACTAACCAAAATAAATCGATAAAACAACAACTCGTCTAACTCCCAAATGGAACTCCTCCGGGGTGTTGAGGAGGTATTCGGCTCTTACAACTCCTTATAAGGTAAGGACATCCCAACACAGATCACGTCATAGGAAAGTGAGCCCATTTGCTGATTCAGGAATCGTTCCTCCTCTGA